GGATACGCTCAAAGCATTACCATGGAGTTGAAAGTGTGTGGAGAGGGGGAAGGGAATACTGAAGGAAGTGCTTCAGCTGTTAATTTGATTAGTAATGTTCTAAATCGTACATCGCTAGTGGGTTCGCCTGTGAACCACCTTGCTAGTCTCATAAAAATCACGAAAAGAAAATAAATCAAAGAAAGTGATTGGGTAATGGTCGATCTCGTGGGCGTTTGAGCTTGCTCACAAGAAACATACCTACGATAGTTGTGCATATTGATGATCTTGTCGCGGACTGCCGCTGTCATAGTAAGAGGTGTGCCCGGTGTTGTTGTTGTTCCGGGTGTCGCTGTTGTTCCAGATGCCATTTTTGTTCCAGGCGTCGTTGCTGTTCCAGACGTTTTCTTTCCCGAACTCGTACCTGTTCCGGACGTCATTTTCACTCCAGAATTCATTGCTGTTCCGGACGTCATTTTCGTTCCCGAACTCGTACCTGTTCCGGACGTCACTTTCGTTCCAGGAGTCGATGCTGTTCCAGACGTCGCTTTTGTTGAGAGCGTTGACTTTACTGGAGTTTTAGGGGAAGCTGAAGAACTTCCTGCTGTGGATGCCGCTGTGGTCGCGGCTATGGATGCTGAAAATACTCAGATGCTTCAATACTAATGCTCCTGGCACAGCTCAGCTGGGGCAGAAAAAGTTTTGCTGAACGTACTGGGGAATGTTGCCTTTCCAGCATCGCAAAGGCCTGCATACTTTCCGTTCCCATTTGTTTTGACGCAAGTGGATCTGGGAAGCTTTCTACTACAATTCTCATCCAAATTACATCCATCAACTCCTTGAGTTGGATTGTACAGCGGTTGGTTCTTTTGTGGCCTAAATGTATATTTATCAGATAAAACCAAACTTCAATGTAGCAGAACTCATAAGCAAAGGTCTTACAGAAGATAGTTGCTGCTCAAGGAAGCCCCTTTTCATGAAAACTGTTTCTCAGGGAGGCCAAGAGTAGTGTGCCCCTAATCAGTAATGACAGGAGGACCTTGAACTGCTGAACCACTGCAGATTGATGGACATGGCTTCGAGGAAGAACACTAACTCTCATGATACCAATAAATGGTGCTGATGCTCAGTTTTGCTACCAGATGCAAGTGAATGTTACTAGAAAGTGCTCATGGTTCTGCCCAAATCTTCAATATCCACCTCAGTTCTAGAGGAGATTTTGGGCATGCAGGTGTTGCTTGGTAAGATACAAAAAAATTTCTTCTGTGAAGGAGAAGGAATCACTGGATAACCCCTACTGGTAGTCAAATTCTGTGATAGTTTTCGACGGGTTCATTTTTAAGTGCGAAAACCGAGAAGGCAGCTCGAAAGGTTGACTAGAAAATTGCACTCACCGGGAGGCTAGGTCAGAGCGCTTGAAGAGTTCAATCTGTGCGCTCCATCAGTCAAATATCAAGTATCTACTTCTACTAGCTGATGAATTATCGATTTTCCTACTCTTTTCCCATACCCTTACTTCATACGATTTTCAGCCTTTACTTCACACTTCAGCCTGGGTACAACGAACTGATTGAGACCTTTTCATGAAAGCTCATTTAGTTGAGTCAATGCTGAATAATTCTCAACCACTGAAATCAGTTCCTGAAGGTATATCTGCCAAAGTCTTGGCTGGGAAGCTTGCGATACGATAGGCAAGTATTAATAAATGGCTGTCAAGGTTTTGTTTACCTCTCTACTTTAACTTTCGAATTCTTGCCCGTAGCCATACTCAAATTGGTACCGTCAATTATCAAGAACTGAGTAGACCCTCCAGAAGTAGCTTAAGCAAGATAGCCAACCCTTCTTACGAATCTATTTCCAGTGGTGGAGAGTATTATCGCCTAGATGATTATATCAGAGTCTGGAAAGACACGAAGGTATTGGATGACTCTTGACCACCTTAATGAATTCCTGGACGCTTCTAGCTTCTTGAAGTTGATCTTTTTTGAAACACGAGTCAGTGTTTTTACCCTCTCAAACGAGTCTGGTACTGATTA